CTCCGCCGTTTGCTGATTGGTGGAGGCTCGGCCCGCGCGCGGGAGCCGGGCCAATGAGAGAGCGCGGCTGCTCCGGCGCGCGCGGGAGTGAGCGCCGTGAGTCGCGCTCTCGCGAGGTGTTGGCTCCTGAAGCTATTGCCGATGTCGACATCTCGCGAGATCTCAGCTGCCGTCACGGCCGCGGTCCCCTCAGGGGCGGCGACGGGGCCGGGCAGGTCCGTGAGGGCACAGCCTCAATCCTCGGGAGCGGCCCCTCGGCTACCTCCCGGCATAACAGCGGTCCCTGGGCGGGAGGCAGGGCTCTGAAGAGGTCACAGAATCCCAGAAGAGTTGAGGCTGAAAGGGGCTTCTGGAGATCATGCAGTCCAATCCCCTGCCCAGGCTACTGGAGTAGGTGACACAGGAACAGGTCCAGGTGGGTTTGGGATGTCTCCGGAGAGGAAGATTCCGGGCCCTCCCTGGGCAGCTGTTCCAGGGCTCTCACACCCTCATGGAAAGAAGTTCTTCCTCATGTTGAGGTGGAACTTGTGGTTTATTTTATGGCCATTGCTCCTTGCCGTGTCCCTGAACAGAGTCTGACACCATCCTCTGACACCCCTTGGAGATATTTTATGGATTGATGGGATTGCCTCTCAGCTGTCCCTTCTCCAGAATATCCAGGCCCAGCTCCCGCAGTCTCCCCTCATGAGGGCGATGCTCCAGACCCCAAACCATCTTTGTGGCCTCCACTGAAACCCCTCCAGCACCTCCTCGCCTTTATTGTTCTGAGTATAAGTCATGAGCTCTCCACCCCATCCTGCTCAGGACAAACTGGTGTGTCTCCTGAGCTGAGTTACAGATGCATTTTTTTAGGAAATATATTGTTTATGGGACTCAGGGAAAAAACCCAAGGGAAATTACCATATTTTATCTGCTTAGACTTGTAACGATCTGAGTTTTGCACAGCCAAACTTGGGAGAGTGCTCGACTTGTCTGCTGAATAGCCCTGGCACTGTGGATGAGGGAATTTAGTAAAGTTGACAGCTAAAGCTGGAATTACTTTACAGAACCCATGGGAAGGCAGGAGGACACTAGGTGGAGCTCCGTGCTCTCTGCTGGGATAAGGAGGATGGAAGTAAAGGGGGGGAAACTGAGTTTTGGGGTCAGGACTTACCCAGCAGCAAAAAAATAAACATTTTACCAGATTATCTGTAATAGTGAAATTCCAGCTGGAGAATCCGACCTTCTGAGGATCCTGTAGAACTTTTAGGAGGGAAAAAAACCAACCATTGATTCTTGCAAAACAGGGCCAGCTAAAGGGGAGCATTCCCAAAATCTGTGTGTTTGGAAGTGGAACCCGGGGGCCAAATCAGGGCAGGTTGGATCAGCCCTGAGGCAGCTGCTGTTAACAGGGCAGGGAGAGTGTGGGATTGTTCCTGGAAAGCTCAAATCCACAGCAAATGGCATAGAATAGGGATTTTTGTTTCTTGAGAAGGTGGTTTTGCTTGCTCAGCGTGAGCTCTGGGTTTTGCTGCCAGGAGGGGTTGTGGGGCCTTCCAGTAGGTGCCAATGTGAGGCAAATTTTACTGGTATTTGAATTTTTCAGCTGGAGCAGTGCTGGTGTGGTCACAGCAGCTGGTTTGCTGCCAATAATAGTAATTCTGTGAAACTGGAACTGCTTGCAGTAGTTCTGCTTATTCTGCTTTTGAACTTCATTGGCTTGAAATGAAGCAAATGGAAAGTAAACAAAATTTTCTAGAAGTAGGTCTGGCTAGGGATGTTAAAATCAACAACAGTAAGATGGGCTTATCCTTCCTAAAATAATTTTGATTTTGATCCCATGGAACAGCTCAGAGAACATCCAGAGATAGAAACAGAAAATCAACCCCTTTATATTTTTTTGGAAAAAAATTAGATAGGCATCTGCTGTCCTTTCTGAATTATTAAATCAATACTCCCTGCCACAAAAAATAAGGTAGAGAACCAGGACAAGAGAAATATTTACAAGGAGATTCATAAACTTCACAAACAGCTGTCTCAATATTTGGTTTGGAATCCAAACCATGCTTCAGTTTCAGCCAAAAAAGAATATTGCAAAGTGATTTAATTTAGATTCTGCACAATAAAAATTACCGTTTAGTTAAACTGACCTGCTCAAGAGATCCAAGCTTATTGGAAAAAATATGAAATATAAAATCTCAGACAATCTGCCAGTCAGTGTCTGACAATACTGCTCTGTGTTCCTACCCCGTGGGCTGTGAGTGTCCCTGGGAATTCCTTTGTGCCACTGCTGCACACCCACAGCCCTCACAAAACAACCTCACTTTGGGTTGGTTTCGAGAATAAAAAATTGCTAAAAATAATTGGGTTGCACCAGAGTACAAAGCCTTGCAGGGTGAGCAGCACATTGGGGTTGCACAGAGCCTCCCTTGCTTTATCCAAGCTGATGTTTTCTATTTCCATGCTTATTTTTTTCAGTTAAAGAACTCAGATTTTGTGTAAGACAAAGCATTCTAACACAGCTCTAGCCATGAACCTGAATTGAGAGCAAAACTCCCCCAGACACTGAGTTCCTTTGGAAACAGAGTTACAGAGTTTATAGAAATAGTTTAAAAATACTTGAAAAGAAGAAGTAACATTTTTTTCTTTAACCTGTACACATGTGGCACTAGAAACATGAAATATGAGTAAAGATAAATACAATTTCAATACCTCTTGTACTACCCATCAGATATAAAATAAACCACGAACCTCTTCCATGTAACTCATTACAAACTCAGGTCCAACCTGAGTTTGTTGCATGTCCAGACCTTTCCTTCTGTTTATCAGCAGAACAGAAAGGGTTCAAAGTCTCTGAGGAAGCAAAAGTTCCACAACACCTGGGCATCTTCTCTTCTTGGTTTATCCAGGTCCAGAAGAGACCTCGCTGCCATCCTGATGATTCCTGGACTTCCACTTGTTATTTCAGTCATAAGAAAAGTGTCTAGACCTCTGTTTTTTCTCCCAAAGAAAGAAACCAGGATTTATATCATTTTACAGAGGGAGTAAGAGCTGGTTGCTGTTCCCAGTGCAGCTCTGCCGCGGAGCCCCAGGTCCATGGGATAACAATTCCATCTCTTCTCTGGCAGGAAGGGCGAGCGTTCCCGGTTACCTGCTCTGCAGGTGGATGTCCACAGGGATGAAGGTCACCGAGGGCTGCTGGGCCAGGCTGTGGCTGCTGTGCCCCACGGGAGGTGGCACTGCCAGCTTGGAGGATTTGGGTTCCAGCTCCCGCCGCACTCTCATGCGCCTGGCAAAGGTAAAAGGGGAATTGGCACCAGGGCTGGCACCTGGAGTGGTCTCTCCTCTCCCAGGGTAAGTTTTGGGGAGATTCCCACACAACCCAGTCAAACCAAGCCAGGATTTCATCCCAAAGATACCCAAAGTCCTCCCAGAGCATATGTGAGCTCTGAGAAGTGAATCGAGCTCCCCCCCTGGCAGCCTTGGTGCACACTCAGACCTTCCCTGCATCACCAGGAACCCTTAAAAAGAGCTCCCACCACACAGCCTCCATCAAGGAGCTCTTTGTGCTTCCTATGATCCATCCACAGAGTACTGACAGTGAGATTCAGTACACTGCAATCTCTGCTTAGATTCTCCTGGAAATTTTCAGCACCAAGCCCTGAAATGCTCTGTTAGCTGAGAGCAGGGACTTTGGTTCATCCTGCTGTGACTTGGTGACTACAGGAGTTAGCCACATACCTGTTGTATGTTTTCAGGATGAGCAGAACCACTGTGAAAATAATAATCACCCCCACCACGATAGCAGCAATGATTGCTCCAGAACCTGGGAGAGAAGCAGGAAGGGAAAAAAGCCATATTTACAAAGTTGTCACTGTAATCTTTGAAGTTTGATAAGTTCAAAGTCCACTTAAAACCAAAAAAAGCCACCACCCCACTCCTTTCCTTACTTTGATAGAGACTTTGTTCTTGAGACTTTGTGGTCACATTCACTGAGAGCTGAGTGTTATCGGTCAGTGGCGTGGCCGTCGTCATCTTGAGTCAGCTGCAGAGGTGAAAAAGGAGTGAATTCCTAAAATATTAACCCAAATTTCATGGTGCTAATTAGGCAACTGCCCACCAAAGGCTCAGAGATGAACTGGAGTTCTTCATATTTTCATTGTGGTGGAAACCTGGCCCTACCAAAGGAATGTAAATTGGTACAAAGGAAATTTTGGTACAATCTTGAGCAATTTGCTTCAAAATGTCTCCTGGTCAGTGATAATAGGATAAAATAAAATATGAACACAATAATGTGTTTTAAATGCTTTGGGATTTTAGATTATCACCTCTGGTTGAGATTCAGATCACTGAGCAATGAGTGTGAATGATTCTGCACCCAGAATTCAGCAATGTCTTGAGGGAAGGGAAAAACTCATCACAGAAAGGTTTAAAAACTCCATTATAAAATAGCATTTAAGGGAGCTTCAATCATCTAACATGGAGAAGAAAAAACATTCAGTCCCTTCACTTGGAGCTCCAAAAGTGTCAGGACAGCCCCTGAACAGGGATATTGTGAGTTCAGCCCAGTGTCAGCTCAGGTCTGTTATTGGAAGTGGGTGAACTTCCAAGGGCACAGCTGAAAACATGTCTTGTGTTTTGGTGGGTAAAAGTGTGGATCTGGAAAGAGCAGCCGGGATGTTTGCTGGTTTTATAAGGGTTTTCCAAGTGTCCCTGGAAACCCGAGCCATTAAAGGGCTCCTTCAACCCGAGAGGGGTGTGAGCACCAGTTCAAAGAGCCCTCTGGAACAGCTCAGCTCCCAGCCCCAGAGCTGAGACACTCCAACTGCCCCTTGAAAAATAAATTATCCTTCAGCACTTGATATGGAACTGAGTTTCCCACTTCAGATGCTGCCCAGTACAACCAGGCAGGGCTCTGGTGCTCCGCTGGGATATTGTGTGGCATGGTAACTTTAAATTTACACAGAACAAGATAAATAGCCAGAAATAATTCAGTGGAAATCAGTTGTTAATAAAAATTAATACCAATTAAAAACCTGCAGAGCAGGTCAGTGAGGAATAAGAAGGATCAGGAAGCAGCAAGAAGGGAAGTGGTTGGTGTCTGAGTGGGGTTCAGGATGAGAACTGCAAGGGCCAACTCTTCAAACGCTTCAGTCCCCTCAAGTTAAAAGTTTGGTTTTCTTCTTTTAATCTAAAAACCAAACTAACTTTGCTCTGAGCCTGTATCTGGGTCATTCTCCCATGAGTGAATGATTCCTTTGTTTAGCCAAAGCCAAGTTAATTCAGCAGCATGAGCATCGTTGAAATATTTTATGTTTAGACTCTGCCCAGCCCTATTGTCCAGCACAGGGTTCACACACACCTCAGAGAAGGCACCAGAACTCAGGGACAGCTGTTCCTGTCTCCTCTCTGTGTAGGGGTAGGGTGGTAGAACCTCCATCCTTCCATGTGGATGAAGGTTCTACCAGTGACAGCAGAGGCTCAAGAGACTCGTCATGAAAAGCTGAGCAAGTGTTCTGACTATGGGCATAATTCAGAGAAATCCACATCCAGATCTCACCTTGTGGCTCCTGACTAGGCCAGTGCAAATGCCAGATCTACAGAAGCCTTTTTTTCCTCCTCTGGCTACCAAAATAAAAATTCTAAATAAATAAGGCTGAATATTTTAATATTAAGCCATGAAATATTCATCCTTCTGACCTTCCCTTTGGGTCAAAGCACCTTGGGAATAGGGAGCTGTTTGTGCATGAGTCACCCAGACCCAAAGAATTTTTATTGTCGTAGTGAAACCGCCTGTTTACGAAAAGGATTAATTTATCCAGCAGGCTGCACCAATCTGAGGTGCAGTTTGAAAAATGCATCAGGTGGGTTTTTTTCTGCTTTGTGTAGAAAGTCTAGAGGTCCAAGGTCTGTGTCTCCAGCCAGGATGGAAGGTGCCAGTCCTGCTCTTACTTGGAGTTCCAGCTCCATTCCTGCCCCGTGAACCAGCAGGTTACACCTGACCAAGCCTCTGCTGCAAGGAAGACCCAGCAAAGGCCAGCAAAATCCATAGGAACCTACTGATTTTCAGCCTGGATCCTACTCTGTTCAGAAAAACGTTTGGAAAATCAGGAGTGCTGGATAAAAGCCATTCAGCAGGGGAGAAGAAGTGGACTTTGATACAGTAATCACAGGACATTCTTTGTCCATGACACAGGGCTGCACTTCCCCCTGTGCACACACACCTGCCTGGGCTCTCAGAGCCTCTCATTCACCCTCACTCTCCACCCTGCTGGTTATTTTTGCATCCCCACGTTATGAAGCTGGAAATGTTTCCATAAAGTTCAGCTTTGGGCACATTTCCATTTCAAACACCTTGGCAGATACAGGGGATAGGTTGTTCTGGCAAGTGGGAGCAAGGCCCCCTTTTCTAAAGCCTCCCTGCTGCCCCTGCCCTGGGTTTGTTTGTGAGGAGATGGGGATCAGAGCTCACCTGTCAGCAGCACCTGGCAATTACAGAGGGGCCACAGGGAGCAGAGGGGTTGGTTTGAGGTTTTTCCAGGATGGCTGGACTTGGAGAGGCAGCTCCCTGCTAGGGAAGGCAGGTGCTGGTTAGGAGAACACAGATTCAGTGCTTTCACCTGGGAAAAGGTGGGGTCTGTGTGGAGCTGGGTTGTTCCAGCCCTCACCTTCCCAGCAGCCCGGGAACACCGCCAGGGATCGAGACAAGCTGTGATTTCAGAGAGTAATAAAAACACAGCGTCCTTCAGTGAGACCTGAACGTGCCTGGGTTTACCTTGAGAGGCTCCAAAGAGGGAGGAAGGAGGAAAGAAAAGCCCAAGTTCAAAGTGGCTTGAGGCAAACAAGCCTCCCTGTGTGAGCCTGAGTGTCCCCATGTCAGGGCAGCACCTTTAAGCATTTTCTCAGGTTCTGGCATGAGCTGCCCAGGTTGAGCTGCTGGTAGAACACACATTAAAAGTGGTTCATTGCCTTGCCAAGACAGAGACACAAACTGCAGGAGCAGCACCAACTAAAAACCCCTCTGTAGTTCTACCTGCCTGGCTTAGATCGTGAGAGGCACCAAAACCCCTCAGCTCCCACAGGTGACAAGAAGTGACAACAGGACCCCCAAAAGGAACACCCTCATTTCTAAAGCCATGCCTGGAAATAGGAACTTGATAGATTTTTGTCACTGACTTGCCCAGGAGCGGTGTCTGAACCAGATCATGAACTGCACATTGCCCAGTTCTAACTTTTTTTGTTTTGCCTTAAAATTCTGGGCCACACACACTTCTCATTCCCCTCTGTGAATGCAGTTATTCATGGGAATGACAGGAACTCCACCATGTTCAGATCCTAAAACCACCCCAGACGCTTCAGGGATGTGCAGGATATGGAAGAAAACAAGCCAGAGGTATTTTCCCACTAGTTCCAGGCCAGGATCTAACACTGGGATCAAGAGACTTGCTTAGATACTTGGGAAATATTCAACAGAACCAGGATTTGGACTTAAAACCCTGGAAAAACAGATTAAAATGGAAAAAAACCCCAAGCACCACCACAATGCTGGAGCTCAGCAGTCAGAGCTTGCCTATGCCAACTTGTTGGATCTGTGAGGCACCTTCCCCTCTGCAGAGCCCTGAAGACACACACAGCAGCTGACACCTCACACTTGCAGCCTGTTCTCCACCAGAACTGCTTGGTAAGCCCTCAGTGCCCCAGTCTGGCACCCACAGAGGGACAAGGACTCTGAAATCAGACTCTGAAGTCACTGCTCTGCCTTTGTCTCCTGGTTTGTAATCGTTAAATCAACCCCTCCTGCCCACCCAGCGCAATGCAGCCCATCAGTGAAAGCTGTTTACAAAAGGCTACGCTTCCTTTAGCAAAGACTTCCTGGGGCATTAAATACATTAATTACCAGGGAAATCCAGAAATCACCATTCAAACCTGTCAGCAGCTTCAGTGTGTTCCCAAATAATGCAAGCAGTGTAATTTTGCTCTGTGCTGGAGACACTCAGTGAACTGTAACACAATGCTCTGAGCTTATGAGTTCTTTTCCTGTTAAATATTACTCTGCCAGCTCTTTCCAGCATGCTGCTCAGCAGATTGGGAAAAAAAAAAAAACCAAAACCACAAACAAATAACCACCAACAAAGCCATATTTATAGTGCCAGGGTTGAATAAGTCAGGACAAGAGTTTCAGCGTCCCCAGTGATGAAAGGACACCGCCGGCGATGGAATGAGCTTTCAACAGCCGCGCAGGCTTCTCTGTCTCCGGCAAGGAAACCGCGCCAGAGCAGTCCCAGTCCTGTCCCTTAAGGGAACAACTGCTCAGCACCAGCTGAACACAAAAACGTGCGAGAACATCTGCTCTCTATTTCTTTCTGGTTTAGAGGTACCGATAAAGAACTCGCGTTTCCCCCGAGACATCCACAGTGTCTCGCACACAAACGTGGAGTAACCGCGATGCAACCACGGCTGGAGCCGGCGGCAGAAAGGAGCGGAGCTTTGGGACAGAAAGGAGCGGAGCTTTGGGGCAGAAAGGAGCGGAGCTTTGGGGCAGAAAGGAGCGGAGCTTTGGGACAGAAAGGAGCGGAGCTTTGGGACAGAAAGGAGCGGAGCTTTGGAGGAGAAAGGAGCAGAGATTTGGAGGAGAAAGGAGCAGAGATTTGGAGGAGAAAGTGCCAGAGCTTCGGGAAAGAAAGTGGTAGAGATCTGGGGCAGAAAGCTGATAAAACACACATTAATGGTTACAATTATCCCCGTTCAAGAGCGGTTCCTACACCCGAGCCTCAGCCGTCGCTACTCACGGAGGATGCTGCG